AGATAGATAGATAGCCAGGACCAAAGGCATTGTGGTGGTCTTAGAAACTGACATCCTTGCTCCACGGCATTTTCAATAAATCCTTGTCAGCAGATTTGTCCAAAGCAACACATCTTTTGATTTCACGACGACTGCCACTGTGGGTGTTCAATGGCTCTTAGTAGCCAGGTAAGATCAATTCACAGTTCCTGGCTCCCTTCCTCAGTCCTTTCAGACTGTCCATCTGTCCTACCTGGCAAAGAGCAGATCTCAGGCCTCATGCTCTGGGCCCACAGTTCAAGCCCATCAAACAACACTGGCTTCTACACAGCACCACTGTCCCCCACTCCCCGACTCCCCAGATCTAAATCTGGCTTGTTTAAAGAGACAGAGACCAGAAACCCAGGCCTCAGCGATAAAACCCCATCTTGAAAAAGCATTCATTTCCACGGGTCCCAGATTATTTTGTATAACAATTACATCTGGGGTAATTTCAATTTAATACCTCGCTGCAAGTGAAAATTGTAGCCTGCAGCTTGAAAATTACTATAATAATGAAAATAAACCCGCCAAGTGAAGCTGGTACCACCAGGGGCTATCACAGGATAAATGCTTCCTCCCGTTGCTCGCTATTTCAGGGGTTGTCCAATTATGGGGAGAGGGCACTAAAGGAGGAAATAAATAACAGACCTTTGGGGAGTCACACATTTGTTCTCTTCATTTTCCAAGTTCTTCCTAAGCCTGGAGATTTTAACTTGGGGTCCAGGCACCTAAGTATGGGCTTCAAGGGGAGCATCAGTCCTCTGAAGTTGTTTGCAAAGCTGTATACAGATATGCATTTTTAAACAAAATAATTTGTAGGGAGCTGCGGTAGCCTAGTGATAAGGAGATATGCTGCCATTCCAAAGGTACATGGTTCGAATCCATCAGCTGGAGAAAGATGAGCAATCTCCTCCCACGCGACTTTCTGAACCCAGAGAGTCAGCTATGGGCCGATTCTGACTCAATGGCATATAACAACAACAAAGTGGTCTATAGTGTTCAATGGCTTTTCAAATAGGGCTGTGGAACAGAACCCTTAAGAACCTCAGTCCTAGCACAATGGATCTGATGCATCCTTGGGCCCCCTTATAATTCTAAATCTCTGACTGTTTATGCAAGAATAAACACTGAAGGTTTATAGTCCTGTCAGAAAAAGCTCCAGGAAATGGAAGAGCTATTTTTTTGGCTTTTCTGATCCAGATGAGTACTTTCTGGGCTTGGGTCATCCACAGGGAGCTAAGAATCAGGAAAGGAAAAGGTCAAGGAAAGAGGCAGTAGAAAAGCTGTATCCTTTTAAGACCTCTCTGTTATTCTGTCCCTGAAAGATAAGCCACTGATAGATTTTTCCAGACCCACGTCCTGAGTCCACTCCACTTATCCCACCCCTGTGCCCCCACACAGATATTCATCCTCCCTCAGAGGACCACTGTGCTGGCCTCTTAGCCAGTCTCCCTGCCTCCAGTCTCCACTTCTGACAGCCATGCCCTGTCTACCACGAAGCTCTCCTGGGATGCCCTCGAGCTTGAAACCCTCCAGCAGCTCCAGGTGTATTGAGGCCATCAGCCCTCGCATTGCCACCAAGACCTTTCATACCTGCAGCCTCACCGATGCTGTGCCTCTGCCATTGCGCATGCTATTACCTCTGCACAGAGCATTCGACAGTGTCTTTCCTCCTGCCTTCACCTGAGGAGCCCCTACTCATCCATCAAGACGCAGCACAAATGTCTCCTCTGGTGTCCCAGCGTGCCCCACACCTATCCATAGTGCTCCCATAAATCTGTGAAAATCTGCAGCACATCTACTAGAACCACCTTGTCAGCTGACGATGAATCCCGCTAGAGAATGGACTGATGCCCATCTCCATGTCCTTAGAAAGAAGGTCAGGGGTAATAGATGGCCAGACAAAGAAGGGGAAAAGTACAGTCAAGAAATACATTCTCAGTTCAGGTGAAGATGTTGTATGGTTTTATAAATGGTGTCAAAGCCTCTGGAATGGCTTTCATTGGCTCTCACACACTTCTTGTCACACTATTTTGCAGTCCCCTCCCACAGTGAATCAGAATGAACTTGTATGATGAGCAGACTAGAAGTGACAGTGTGTGACTGTCAAAGCGAATTCATGAAATCCCTGCAGTGCTTGCACTTGCCTTGGTAACTTGAAGGGAAGTGAGGACGCTATGTTGTGAAGGCACCAGGCAGCCCTATGGAAATGCCTGTGTGGAGAGACACTGGGGTCTGCTGTCCACAACCAGCACCACCAACTTGCAGCCCTATGAATAAGTCACCTCTGAAATGGTTTCCCCATTTGAAGTTCAGGTCAAAATTGACAGCCTCAGCAGACTTCTGACTGTAGCTTTACTGGGGACATCAAGGCAGAAATGCCCATATTCCAAATTCCCAACCCATAGAGAGTGTGAAAGACAGTCAATGGTTACTGTTGTTTTAAGCCACTAGGTGTGGGGTGATTTATTAGCATTGCTGTTGTTGGTCACCACTTCGATGATTCTGTCTCACGCTGAGCCCACGTATGCAGGGTACAACTGTGCTCCAAAGGATCTTTAAGGCTGTGACTTTTTGAGATCAAATCACCAGGCTTTTAGTCCAAAACATCTCTGGGTACCCTCAAACCACCAGTACGTTCACACCACCCAGGGGCTTTTCTGTTACCATCAGATACTTACTGCAGAATGAAAAGGCTTCAGTGAGAAGAGGCGCTGGCCTTGGAAGTGTCTAAGGGTGCTCTTCTGTCTCTGATTTACCTATCCTTGGACACAGGCCTGACTCTGAGTTGGGGAGTATGGGAGTGGGAGAAGGGCAGAAGGCTGGTCATGGGGAGTTTGGAAGACCCTTGGTTGGTGGGAAGGCATACAGAAGGTGCAAGAAGTACCAGAAAGAGTGGGGTTGAGGTCAGGGGAGAGGGAAGGATGGCTAACAATTTCTTTGAAGGAAAACGCTAGAGTGGAGAGTGGAGCAAGGCCACCTTGTCTCCACCTGACTTGGTTTGCAGGTACTGGGGAGATGGAATGAGATACTTAACAGAGACACTTGGAAGTCCGGAAGGGTATTGTGTGTGGCTGGGAGCCAAGCCTCTCTTTGTAGTGTGGCATCAACACACAATGCTCAGAAGTACATACATATGTACAAGAGAATGCACACAAACACACATAATAGGAGTGCACGCACACAGACACACACACACATGGCACTGGAGGAGAGGGCAGAGGGAGGATTTCATTCTCTCCAGGTACTAGATATTGAAGTAGGATTCATGGAGAAGATGTAAATCTGGATCTCACAGGGTCTGGTGAGGACACTCATCAAACCAGCTACCTGGGATCAGATACAATGCCCACTTCTCCAGGCCACTATTGGCTCACCTGTAATACAGGAGGTTGGGCCTCACAGACAAAGTGAAAGGTTCTCACAGCACCAACAATCAAAGCTATGTTTTGCACAAGGCCTTCAACTCTGAAGCACTAGGCTGAGGTCTGTAGCAGAGGTCTACATTTCAACACTGGACATGGCTTCAGACATCATCTGTGTTCTTTCTGAACCAGTGGACCTGACATGTGGCTTTGCCCCCAGGGAGAGTGCAGCTGAAAGCAGATCAGAGTCACCGGAAGACCCTTGCAGGGACAGTTTTATCATTGAGACTCCCTTGGAACACCTGTGAACATGTTTAGTGTGATTTTCATGAGTCAAATTCCGCCCCCCACACACACCACCTCATAGCCAGGTGGAAACCCTGAAACCAGCTCTGCAAGCTTTTGAATTAGAAATTGTGCAGTCTTTTCAGTCATGGTGGCTTGCCCACTTCAGTAGCCATGATTCAGGAAAATGCTTTGGGTACCATTCTAATGGTTTCCCCTCATTCAGGATTTGTCTTGTCTGTGTTTGTGTTGTCTTTCGGTGTTTGTCCTGCTTATGTCTTAATAAAAGAGATTCTATAGAATATCGTTTCAATATGGATGTCTTTTTGCTCCTAGGACCGATGTAGCAGATATATAATAATAATGATAATGGTAATAATGATAATAATAATAATAATAATAATAATATTCCCAAACCAAAACACAAATAGTTACTGCAAATCCATCTTACTTCTGGTGATGACTCACTGACCAAACTCTTCCACAGGTTTTTCAATGGCTCTGACTTTTTAGAAATAGATCACTGGCCTTTCTTCCTAGGTACCACTGGGTGGACTTGAACAGTCAATCTTTTTATTAGTGACCAAGTACTTAACTCTGTTCCATCCAAGGACTCTTCTGATTTTACTAATGAAAATCTTTCAAGTCGATGTCACATTACGGTGACCCTCCACTTGGTTTCTGAGTTTTTAATCAGA